CCCCCCCCCCCCCCCTTCCTCCCCCTCCCTGTTTGTTACTACTTGCGGGATACACTTCGCGTGAAGGAATCCTAGCGGTACTTCTGCGGACCACTCATGATCATCGTAGCATGTGCTTACAACTGTTAGGGGTGTGGTATCTTGTGTAGCCCGGGTGGTATTGTAGGGCGCATGGTTGCCGTATGCATACAAGGACAGAAACATTCGTTCTTGACTTCATGAGCGGAATATCACCGGCGGTGGACAGGCAGGCCAACTTGGGCGCCAGTCAATATTTAAAAGTTTCGGAGCGCGCGCAAGTGCGGCAGGGTGAGCACACGTAACGTACATCCACCTCGTCCACGCATCCGTCCGTTCGTGTCCATAGGTCGACACAAAAAGCGTTCAAAACGAGCGGTAGACTATACCGCAAAAAACAACAGTCAAAATCGGCCGCCTGGACGGCGCTACAGATAGCGCACAGCGGCCGAGAGCCAAGACACAAGAGAGATGGCAGTTGCCACACCGTCTTGGTTCTGCTCCTTGCTGCAGTCGTCACGCCGACTCCACCTTGACCACATCGTCAGCATTTTTCTCTGCCCGCCAGTTCCACGGCCTCGAAGGGCTTGGCCAACCAGAACATGTACACACTGCGCATGGAGGAGCTCCTCCTTGTTGTCGCAATCGTCACTTTGACCACACAATCAGAAATTTCTAAACCCGCCTGTAAACTTCCTTCAAGTGCTGTGGCCAACAGTAGACATGGTGCCGCATGTGCAGCAGCACCCCCCACACCCTCTCCCTCTACTCTACGCCGACGCAACTTTGGCGTCAAAGCTGGATACCACCAGGGGGGGTATGTAAACTAACTCGAATACACCCAATCAGCGGGTTTTTACGGAATGCGGTTCTTCGTTGTCTTCTCTACATGCGGTATGCACGGGAAACACCAACTCTACCCACCTTACGTCACGATCCCCCCCCCCCCCCCCCCCCCCCCCCCCCCTCCCTCTCCATCAAACAAAAGCTGCACCCTTCGAATAAGAACGCAGAGGGTCTCTCTACCAGCGCCTGTACGGCGGTTGCTTTAGGTAATGTTCTCTCTCTCCCGTTACTCTATCTAATGTCTCCCTGTCCCTCTCCCTCTTATCGGTGGCACACTTCCATTTGCGATGCCAACTGAGTTTCTGTTTTCGAGCCGCCCTTGTACGATCACAAGACGCTCGCAACCAACCAGGAACAAGAAAAAAGCGCCCACCAGAATCAACCTGAAACACCAATACCCTACCCTCTCTCGAAGCGGCCGAGGCTCATTGACTTGGACCCACAAGAAAGTGTTCCTATGTTGGCGAACCTTACCGACGCAGTGATAAGTGAGTAGCGCAGACGGGGCGCCGCGGAATGAGGGACTGCAGCCCTACTTATTTCTCTGTGTGGGTATGTCCCTACCCAACACCAACCGAGTACCTGCCCTCCAAAGGTACTAGTTTCTGCTGTTGGGACCCGGCCGAAAGGGCATGGACGTATGTAGCGGCGCTATGTATGACGAGAGAGTGCCTGTTGGCCGTTTCGCCTGTACGCGGCAACCAGCCCTAACGCTGCGGACATTAAGGGAGACACGCACTACAGCAGCAGCACTCGCCGGACTTGCGACCAAAAGGGATCGAATGATAATATGTCGAAGAAGGGCTCCCCCTATTTTCGCCATCAGCACATCCGACGGACTGCAACAACAACATCCAACACGCGTGAGAAGGGCGCGAGAGAGTCCGCCGCGCAGCGAGAGCCGCCCGCAAACAAGCAAACCAGCTCCGCAAAACGGACAACAAACGCCACCACCGACTAATTCCCTCGGCGTCTCCTACTCCGAGGAAACGAAGCAACGCCCCTCGCAAGCACTAAACTACAGCAGCAACGATAAATTTAAGTAAAAAAATCAAGCGGCTTCCTCCCCCTCCCCCCCTCCTGGTGAAATTTGCGCCCACCTAGCCCCCCCACGACTATTCCCCGTGCCCTTAAGGCCCTGCCTGTCCTTCCTTCCCTACTTGAGCGGAAACCCTCCCCTCCAAGATGAAAAAAATCAGTGGAAGTCGCGGAGGGTCTGCTCGAGCGCCTCTTCGTTTGCCCCGTTCACCTTTTCCACCTGTTGGCATTTATTCCACGTATTTTGCGGTTGGTGAGCGCGGAACAAGGGAGCGGATGGTCACGATCAGTAATTGCTAATCAGGAGGTGTTTTGAGTCACTTCGACACGAGTTCCATCAGCCCTTATCGGTAGCAAGGTTTTATTGCACGCATTTTCTTGTTGGTAAAACGAGGAACAAGGAGGGGATGGATCACGACCAAAAAATCATTTGGGTAGGAATTCCATGAATCCATGTTAAAGAGTAAGGTTTTGGTCCACGCATTCTTTTGTTGATGAGTCAGGGAATCGAATACGATCATGATTGGTCAGGAGTCGTTACAACATACCTAACGCCAGGATTCGCAGTGAATCCGTGTACCCATGAGGACTACATTCCCAGGGTGGGGCCTCATGGCAAGGTTGAGGTTGGGCGATCACAACAGCAGTCCTGGTGGAACCCAAATGATAAGCGACAAACGATAGCCCAACAGACAGGTCCAGTTTTCCGTCCAAACAAACGATACATGCGTACATACCACAACGAAACATGGCCCTACACTTCTACACTACACTACCGAGCCTCCTTACCTTCCCACAACTACCGCTGAGCTGAGTCCCAAATGCCCCAACAGCGCAAACTATACATGACGTGCGACGCAAATACGGCAACAACCGATATGACCAACAAAGCGACGGAACTCCGCTGCTGTATTATCACACACATCCTTCGATCCCCTCCGGAAAATAATATATTTTGTCCTACGAAGACCTCGACCCGATATCGAAGCAATGTTGAAAATCAACGAGGGCACAGCACCAGCGTGGAGGCAGGGAGATTACGGTCAACAAGAGCAGTAAGCTGTGCTGCACTATACTGTACTGTGCTGCACTGTGACTCGGTTGACATCTACCACTTCAATCTCGAAGCCTTGCCACTTACTGACAGAAGGACTTCTACTTCAGTCGATTGAGTGCCCCGTGCAGTGGACTAGGGGTCGACTCGAGCACTTTGGACCACACCGTGCTCCTTTAGGGCAAAGGGTGCCTGTGCCGCACCGTACCGTGCTATACCGTACCTTCTTCCCGTCTTTCCAGAAGTGGAATGAAGGTACCGACCGCACTCCCTCCCTCTTCATCAGCTGCGACGCGTCGTTCGTGCTGTCCCCAATCACCTTCTCCGTGTAGCACAACCAAGGACATTCTCCGGTTAGCCGCATACATACGAGCAATTCCGCTTAACGAAACAACGAACGCGTGAGTCGCCCCAGTCAACGATAGCAAGGCTGTGTGGTGACGTGCGTCTCCGGTTAGTCGCGTACATACCAGCCATTCCGCTTGACGAAACATCTAACGCGTGAATCGCCCCCGTCAACGATAGCGAGGATGTGTGGTGACGTACGGCATGTTTTGCAAGGTGGGTTTTATCCTATACGACAGTCGCTCGCAGTTTTATCCTGCACTAATTATGCCATTGGCTCGATCCAAGGTCGCACGGAAGCATGGATCCCCTTCGCGGCCACGTGCCATACTTGTCATACGCAGACATTTCGATCCAACGACAGGGGGGAACGCGCCACTCCCTTCGTCCAAACAGACAGCCGGAACGCGCTCGCAGGTTCGCGGTTGATCGGTACGGGATGTCCGCCACCGCGCTCGGCGTCAAAGTTAACGGTGTACATGTCCTGATGCTCATCTCGCTCATGGCGTGAGGATGTCAACAAACATGTGCTAAGGCTTGGAAAGCTGTCCCGAGTCAGGATGAAGATACCCCTGAAACAACGGCAGAACACACATGCGAACCGAAATTGCGCCCCCCTCCCTCACAAGAGGCGCACTCATGATGGCGAAGTGGTTCATCGACCGCCAGTTCGACTGGACGTTCGGTGATCTCGCGTAGCTTTCCGAAAAGCAACATGTCCGAATATTCAACACTCTTCAGTTCCGTAGAGATATATCTGAAACACACAATAACATGCCCAACAAATAATCTGGAGGAATGATGCCTCGCGGTTTGTACGGACAGGCGAAGGCTAAGCGGGGCTGGCTGCTGTCACTCCACACCTTTACGAAGACCGCATCCGAGTACTGCTCTGCGAGCTTCTCGAACTTGGGCAGGATCATCTTGCAGGGACCGCACCAGGTGGTAGAGTAGTCAACAACCACCAGCTTGTCCTTGTTGTCCGAGGTGAGCTTGTCGAGCTCGGCGAACGAACCAATCTGATGAAGGACGATATTCGTCGGCATCGTCGTACTTGCGTATCAGAATACATCTCTCATTTCACCAGCCTTGCTCTATACGAACCAATCCGTTACACGTCGTTCGTTGGCATCCTCGTATTCACGTTTCGAAATACATGCTTCATACCTGCTTCATGCCCATCAGACTTGCTCCCAAGAAAAGCGTGCTAGAAAGAGAAATGCGCGCGCAACTCCGGAGGTCATTTTTTTTTTTGTGTGTTTCTTGACCACAATTTCGAAGCCTAAAAAACGAGATGGAAGACGTGTGAGGAAGCTGTGGGACAAGCCGAGTGCGAACATTCCAACTAAATAATAGCGCAGGCAAATCAACATAAAGGTACAGTCGAAAACCACAATGCAAAGCATGGTGGTCTGCACCACATCGGGAGAAGTTCATCAAGTGATATTTCGACAGTTGTGCAACACCCCCGGGTTAGGATAATCAACGAGCCTTGCTCTTGCTTGTTTCTTGCTGTGGGCGGGAGAGGCTTTGGGTTTTACAATCATGTTTCTTTTCACGAGACAGAAGAGAGACAGGATATACATGTATATATATAGAGAGACAGGGTTACATATATACATACATCGGGAGAGTGGAACAACACCAACAAGATACATGGGTCCCTTGACCCAAACGCAATGGAGCTGGGACACCCGGGTGTAGTAGCAATAAAAATCTCCTCTGTACATCACCTCTTCTGATACACACGGACAGAAACGAAGTGTTGTGGTCGTGAATATTGAACATCAATCATGCATCTAGCTTAGCTCACCCAGCCCCACGTCAACACGGCTGCTGATCGCACACACTTCTAGACTCGACACAGTTCACCCCTCATCCTCTTTGGCCTACGAATCTCCGAAAATCTCCGCAACAGGACGTGCCGTGATGGGCAAGTTTATTGCGCTGTGTGTGTATATACACAGCGTGCTTTCAGCCCCCCCCGTGGGTTTGCTGGGGGTTCGTGGCTGGTGGGTATCGGAATTGCAACAGCAGGCCAAGAAAAAGCGGGTTCCCCACCGCTAATATCCCGAGCATAGCGGCTCATTTTTTAGATCGAGGTAGTTTTCATGATACGTAGGCAGGTTGATTTGCGTATGAAAACGACGCGACAGAGATGAACTTTACTTTCTTAGATAACACACGTCTGCCAATCTTATTGGCATTGGCAAGAGAAGAGAAGCTTAAGGCTTTGGCGAGTTTGAAATGTTCAAGCCTGCTTGGTTTGACAACTGGCACACTCTCTCACAGCAGCAGCAGTGTATGTATATAGTCAAACCCCGTTGGCAAGGACGTACAGGATATGCATATGAGCCGTACGCTTGTCTATCCAAAAGCCCACTGACCAAAAGCGCGGAACACCAGGTTTTGCGCATTTCTGCGCGGCCCTGCTCGGACACAACTGGACCAACCGTGAGCTTGTCCAACCCCAACTCTGTTCGGGGTGTGGCGCAGTTAGTGCTACACGCAGAGGCGATGAGCACCAGAGATTGCGGACCTGCAAAGAGAAACAGGACCTCCGCTGATGCAACCTACAGCAGCATGGTATCATGGCATCCGCAATACACGGCCCCGGCCGGAAACACCTACAGCAGTCGGATGTCTTCCATTGTGCGGGTGCCCGTTATTTGGTGCGGGTGAACTTGTCGGCACAGATGGAATCATAAGGTGGTGAACATTTGAAAGGGCCTTTGGCGCACACCCGGTTTGAAGCATGGAGAAATCCACCAGAGGCTGAGCCCAATTTGCTACGCCAATTTTCATCATTCCCAACAACCTGAGCCAGGGCGTCGTGGTGTGGTGTGTTTCTTACTAGTGGAGCACACAAACTAGACTAAATACGATAGACGATGCATATATAACAATGTCAAGGTATTAAGTGGGCCCCCTACTAGTACGAAGTGTCGAGGTTTATGTGAATGCTGGCTGTGACACCGCAGCACAGCAGTGCACATGTTCTACAACAAAAGCCGTAGAACTCTCCTATTACGAAAGTGTGCACATGGTGCTATATTTCGGATCTCCGGCAAGACATCAACTATCATAAAATACTTTGGGTGCGACGTTATAATGTTTCTTGTATGCATAGTACCGATGTATTTATAGTCTAACCCACACTTTCCATGAGAGGGCCCGGATGTGCTGACGGGGATGGTATACTCCGTATCGTGCGTATTCTCTGACGGTTGAAAACCTCTAAAACAACACAGCAGTAAGCACCTGTCGGCAGCGCCAAGCCACTGCGTATCGCTCTTCACGTCAAGGTTATTCTGTTGTGAAAGAGTGTCAACATGTCAAGAGTGCCGCTGTTCAAATCACAAAATCACCAAAAATTGAACTAGCGGCGCGGAGGGTTGTTGTTGATGATAAGATCGGTATTTTTCCAGCGTGTTCAACTCGCTCTGGGCGTGGTGTGTGGAGAGGCTCAAGCTCTCGCCGACGTAGACAACCACACACGCGGCTACCCTTCTCTCCTCTCACATCGATCACTTTCATGGTCGGCCTGCTGCGCATCGCACCCGCTGCCCGTGCTGTTGCCGAAGCACATGCCCTGCTGCTTCCTGTTGCCCTCACGAAAGCAGATGGGCTGACGAACGCATCCACCAACCCCAACAACACAAGCGCTGCCGCCACCACCGCTCTCATGACGAACATGGCGTACGAAACAAAATACCCACAGAGAAGAGGGAGAAGAACAGCCGTGTGTGTCTGTGTGGGTGCTCCCTCTCTCTCTCTCTCGTTCTCTCACTGTTTTCGTCTGACGTGGGTCGGTACTAGCTGCTGATGTATGCACCAGCTGCACATTCTAAAAAGAAGGGGGGGTTCCGCGTTATTCGGCGTACCATCATCCTGTCTACGGGTCCCCGATGGCCAACTCTCTTCGTGGTGCGGGTGTTGCGTTTCTCCACCTCTTGCCGAAATTATTTGCAGGGGGAACGGTTGAGGGAGGGGACACTCGTGGCTGGCTGGTTCCCATAGCGACAACCAGCGCCGTTCGGTGAGCACATTGTGGTGGTGTCTTTGTCTCTCGTTTCTCTCCTTACACAGCTCTCCCTCTTTCCTTCTCTATTTAAATTTGTGATGCTGAACAAATGACTGCTGCTGCCGTGAATTAAAAAAAAGAAAAAGATTGTAGATACTGAGAGGCGCTTACAACAACTGCACCACCCTGGTCATGGAAATACTGTACGTATGTAACATTTGGTCTATTGTGTTGTCATCGTCCATTTACGTGCTAAGTGGGCAGACACAATGTGCTGCTGCTGTTGATCTGTTCATGAAACCTTGAAAAGGACCCACAGATCCGCGCTGCATGGCCAGGATCCACGAATTGTATCTGTCAGGATACACGGAAGATGCGTGAAGCATGCATTTCCTTTAGGTTAGTTGTTGAGATATCCCGTGGGGGCATGATTATCAGCTGCCACCCACCAGCAAGCGAAACGAACGAAGCTCCACCCAGTGTGAGCTTGAGCGAATCCAAAGAAAGAGGATACCCACACATACTTACGTCCGTACGTTCGACACGAAGCACAAGATATTTAGATCGGGGGGGGGGGGATCCACGATGAATGCCCCAAATTTCATCGCAAATGGTCACCCCTTGCCGGAGCGTGATTGCCTCGCTGCTCCTGGCCTTTACTTTTGTGTGTTGCTTGACGAGGGCGTGCACCAGCACAGCAGTGCACCAGTCAATCTGCGATTCGCAAGCGTTGGTGTGCGGATGCTCGCGCGCGTCACGTTTGGCATAGCTAGACAATGGGTACACAGTTTGGCACAGCCTATTTTTGCCAAGAACAGACCCCAACAACAGCAAGCACTCAAGTAGGAGGCAGCAATGGAACCGACACCAATCCACGACCGACGAGTAGTCTCTTGGAAGCGCTGGTTCTGAGGGTGCTGATACGACGTCGTTGTCCTGATTCTCCGACCAATCAATCCGACTCATCCTAAAGACACGCATAGACATAATAGACAGGAGGAATGCTCTTCGGTGTTCCAGCCAATCAATCAAGCGGTGCTGCTACAGACTTGTCTCGTCCACGAAAGTGAGGACACGATCGAGAAAGAGATGAATATGACAGACGGGTAAAAATATAGGCTTTTTGGTGCACGAACCACGTGTCAAAGACAGAACTAGAGCAAGCACAAGTTGCTGGTGGTCCAACACGACACAAAGAAACAAAGAAACCACCACGAGACGGGGGAGGAGGGGGGTGTACTCATAGTCGTGCATGCCGTAGTCGTTAGACCATTGACCTCGCATCCCTACAAAGCCGGGACGGAGCACGCCGGGTTCTCACCGAACCAGGCTCTCACATCACCAAGCGCGAAGCCCCGTGAGGTGTTCGGCGAGTCGCATGAAGGGTGCGCTGCATCCTGCTAAGGGTGTTCGGCTTCTTGTGCTTACTTGCTTGCATACGGATGACAGCTGCGTATGACTTGATTTACTTTCTGGTGCTTCACTTCCAGAGACAATTGTAAGCGGTGTGTAACTGCCTCGAGGGTGCTTGACCATTTTAACACAACGTGGTGCGATCATCCCCCTTGCGCGGAGCGAGGGTTCTCCACCCCGCACAACATGATCTACTCGACCACCATTATGGTTACCGCCAAAAAAAAAAACGGAGGTAAAAAAAAAACGGTAACCTGGTTGCCGAGTTCACGAAGTGAATTGGCTTGTTTTACAACGTCGTTGCCAAGCGACGAAAACCCTATCCCGATGGTAAACATCGGGGGGGAGGACACCGCGTCTTCAATGGGTTTGGCCTGGCCGCGAAGAAAAGGGGGGGAGGAATTAACAAACAAGCAAGTTTATACTGAAATGTCACCCACCGAACCGCCGCCGCTGTTGATGACCGGTCCATCCTCCGCGTGTACGCCAATCAACCCATATCTTAAACCCTACAGGCCCGAGCAAATTACAACAAGGTTCAGGCGTCAGTCGGTCCGTCGATGCGGCCGATAAGGGCTCGGCCGCCAAGCGTCGAAAGTCAAATAAGGGAGCAGCTGGAGAAGAAATCTACTTTTGTTTTTCCTTCTTTCTTGTTCTCCTTGTTGTCACCTGCTCGAACCTTTAGGGTTAGCAAATATTATGAAGAGAAAGCGAGAGAGAGCTAAATGTAGACTAGTCTAGTTGGTGTTGTTTCGTCTCGGGCGGAGAAAAGGTGAATCATTCAAGGATGAATGCGGCAAAAGGTGGACGAGGAGAAAGAGAGACTTGCTTGGTGATTGACCTGTGCACTCCGCTTCTCTTGCTCGTCGTTGTTCGTCTACTCTTGTGTACTAATTTCTCTCTTCGCGTTACTACGCCCTGCCTAACGATAACCCACCTCAGTTTCCAGAGGAAAACATGCTTGTCTGACTGTCTGTCTGTCTGTCTGTCTGTCTGTCTGTCGGTCTGTCGGTCTGTCGGTCTGTCTGTCAATCTGTCTGTCTGTCTGTCTGTCTGTCTGTCTGTCATTCCATGGTTGTCGTCGTGAGGAAGCGTAGAGGGGGGTCAAAATGGAGCCCACGCCCACTTTTTTTGCCAAGCCGGCAACCAAACAAACCGGGGGCAGACGAACGAAACACAACACTAAACGCGAATTACGAGTACTAATATTGAAACGAAAACGGACGGCTAGCTTGGGTCGGCGGAAGATAGTTATTATAGTCTAGATGTGTTGAGGTATGGACCGCTGACGAAGAGACCAGCTCAGTATTGTTTGGTATGTACGTAAAACGTCAGTCCGAGCAGCGTACGTACGTAGCGGGATGACCGAAACTGCAACAACGCAAGGAGCAAGGAATGGGGGTGCCACAGGTGGCCAGTGGGCACGGTTACGGGGGGGTTAAAGTGACCTGTAACCCCAAGGCGTTGTACAACCTGCGTAACCCGGTCGGGCGCACCGTTGCCAACCTCCAAGGTCAGGCAGGGTTCGGAAACGCCGGCCCAAACCCAGTTAAGGGACATTTGGATCTGTGCTTGGTTGCAGGCGAGGTTGTCCAAGCCCGAGAATATCCATGCCTTGCCGCGAAAACTATGTACCAGCCGGTGTCCACAGAGTACACGACACACCGGTTTTTTGGACATTCGCGGCAATAAAGAAAAGTTTCAAGAGTGCCGGCCTTTGTAAGCCCGATTTTAAAGTTGACTACCGTCAGACGCGCAAAAATAAAAATAGTACACCCCCCCCATCCCCCCCCGTTGGGTTTTCGTCGCCTGGCAACGACGTTGTAAAACAAGCCCTTTTTTTTTTTTTTTTTTTGGCGGTAACCATAATGGTGGTCGAGTAGATCATGTTGTGCGGGGTGGAGAACCCGCTCCGCGCAAGGGGGATGATCGCACCACGTTGTGTTAAAATGGTCAAGCACCCTCGAGGCAGTTACAC